TCACGCCTGTAATCCTAGCTCTTGGGAGGCCGAGGCGGGCGGATTGCTCAAGGTCAGGAGTTCAAAACCAGCCTGAGCAAGAGCGAGACCCCGTCTCTACTATAAATAGAAATTAATTGGCCAACTGATATATATATAAAAAATTAGCCGGGCATGGTGGCGCATGCCTGTAGTCCCAGCTACTCGGGAGGCTGAGGCAGGAGGATCGCTTGAGCCCAGGAGTTTGAGGTTGCTGTGAGCTAGGCTGATGCCACGGCACTCACTCTAGCCTGGACAACAAAGTGAGACTCTGTCTCAAAAAAAAAAAAAAAATAATTTTTAAGCAAAGGTAAATTTTAACCCGGTCTATGCCTGAATGATTAAGAAAAAGATCTATTTAATCAAGCCCAAACTTAGGCAGTTTTTCTATGCTGGTAGGACTTCCAGACAGGGTTCTCTCTTTTGGGGAATAGAACCTAACTATAATAATGAAAGGTTATATTTCTTGAGATAATAGCTCCCACTTTCCAGATAAAGCACCCCCATTTTCAGGAAAAATAAAATTTCCTAGGCCCATTGTAGAAGAGGGAGGTGGGAGAGATGCTGGGACCAGGCATCCATTTCACTGTTTGTCATAATCACCTATTCAGAGTAATTTTTTTTGGCAGGGGGTGGGTCTATATTTTTGGAAATGAATGATTTTAGTTTGCAAATCATGAATTTAAGTCTGACATCATTAACCTAAACAACATATCAAAAGTATTGGCTTTAAACCATAAATGTTTCATAGACTATTTCAATTTTATCAATACTTAAGACCCCTTAAAACATAAAGAGTTAGAGAAAAGGCATGAAGACTGAACATAGTAGTAACAACTGCTGACCTCCTGAATAGTCCATAAAAGGAAGGGTTCCCTTGGGGACCAGAGGGCTCCCTCCCCTACACCACCATACAATTTTCAACACTGCCATGAGACTCCCGCCTGACCCTAACACTGAACTGGACATATATTACCTTTTCATTGCCCTCCCTAATATCAGAAGTTAAAAACATCTTGTAATAGTCACCTTTTATTTACCATGTCGATCAACACTGGGAACCAACGTGGGTAGGCTTAACCCATAATAGCTGCCTCCCGTGCAGTGAAGAAATGGGATAATGTCACGAGCAATGTAAGCTGCTGAGACATCTCCCCAACGAAGACAGAAAAAAAAGATCCTTAGAAACAGAAAGAAAATAACTACCTTGAGACTTTAACCTATAAATGCTATTACTTAAAATAAATACCATTCTAACATGAGGTGAGTACATTAAGTTTTTCTAATTTCTAAGCCACACACAGTGAAGACTGAACCACTCAGAACTCCAAATGCTTGAGAAAAAAAAAACAGCAACACAGGATTAATATTCTGGTTAATAGAATTAACCACAAGAGGATTATCAAGGTAAAAGCTAGAAGACAAACAACTTTGCACACACAAAAAGAACGTATGTATAAAGAACTCAATGATGGTACATTTTGGTGGTTTCTAAGTGCTAGGCTTTGAACTTGCTGTCACAAATTACCTAGGAAGCTCACTAAAAAACAGATTCCTGAATCTCACCTGTGAACGCTGATCTAGTAGATCTGCAGTGGGTCCTAGAACCTATATTTTTAACTCCTCTTGTGATTAAGATGCAACCAAGTTTGGGAACAACTGCTTTAGAATCTCACAGTGCCTTAGGGACTTCACTTCACTCACTGCAGAAATACTGAATATTTGTCACTTATTTGACACACTATCTATTGCACAAAACCCTACTAGGGTAATGCTATTAGGAAGCCCCAGGAGAAACTGCTAAATAAACCATGATTCATAGCACTTGATTCACTGTTTCAATATCCCAATGGCCAGGAATTTTACCAAAAACATACCAAATGCTAGGTGGCTTGGAAGACGAAACAGAAACCTAAACTCAAGGAGGATACACACACTTGTATACTTGTATATAAAGTATATATAACTAAAACCCTGTATCCTTTTAAGGCAAAGCACAGTGTCATGGCAAGAGTTTTGGTTTAACTTATCAGAAGATAAGAATTTGAGTCATACCTCTGTCTTCAACTGCTAGGTCTTGGCTAAACTGTATGACAACCAATGTCTCTACTCTGATAGGGAGCAGACAGTAGTTCTTAATCCTAAATTATATACGAGCCCCTTTAATCCCCAAACTTCCATGATTCCTCATGGGTAAAGAATACAGAGTTCAAAGATAAGGGAACCCAACACAAGTTGGAAGAACCAACTTGGCAAGGTACAGCTGAAAGGAGGACTTCAGATGGGCTCCAAAAGATGACATGGCCACAAGTAAACTAAAAATGAATGGGAAAGGGACACCAAGTGAGAACTCCAAGAGCATATATGCACAGAGGCTGGGAATAAGATCAGCTTGCAAGTGAAGAGCCAGTCTGACTACAGTGGAGAACAGCAATAGCACTGGCGTCACTTCTCCAAAGCTTAGCCGGATGATATGGTAAAACAACAAAGAAACATGATAGAATTCTGAGTAAGAAGTAACATGAGGAAAGTGCTGCTTTGTAAGATTAACCTGACAGCCATCATGAGGATGGACTGGAGGAGGGCAAAAGAGACTAATTTGTGGAACAGTGTCCCAGAAAATAGAAAGGCTTAAATGCAGCTTCCGAAAGGTACTTAAAGCTGTGAATACAAGAAAAATCAGGCCTAAGATATTGTGTAAGAGCACAAAACCTGTCTACTTGAAAATAAGTAAACACAGAAAGAACAAACAGGCAAAAGTGGTGCTATATACTTTTAGAAAAGGGTCTGCTTTGCCGCTCAGAGAATCTGGGCCAAATTGAGGATACCAGCTGTTATCTGATATTTTTGCAGGAACCAAATGGGGGTGGGGAAAGAAGTAGCCTGCTGCTTACCCATCACCCTCACCCGCACTTCAGAAAATCAGAAGAGAAGTAGCAGATGTCACAGTACAAAAGCCACAAGGCATTACTGTCCTTTCTCCCATGTATTCAGCCCGAGCAGCTGGGCCCTGAAGCAAGAAGGCTGGATGATGGACAGTGAGGAAGCAGCTGTCACCAATGGCCTCCTAGAAGGCCATGTGCATTTTCTCCTATGGTGCTGTCTTTCCCCTGTGCTTCTACCTTCTTCTGGATCTTAGAGCAGTCAGGGTGTATAGCAAAAGAACTGACTCACCAGAATGAAATAAGAGTAGGTTATTTCTGGAACAGAGAAAAGGATATTTCCTGGGGTGAGCCATCCCAAACCACCTATTCCATTTTCTTCTCAATCACAACTCAGGACCTCAGAACTAAGACAAAATAGCAGCAATCCTGGAAATCAATATAAGCTGGGGAAGGGAAAGCCTGCAAACTCTGCAGTAGGATAGAGCACACCAGTCTGAAGGTAACCGGACATTGGATATCTGGTTTTATAAGAGCACTTAATTATTACCTAAAAGTACTGGTAAAAGATAAACACAAAAAGTGCGCAGAAAAGTGTAAATAATTAGAAAAAGCAGTCCAGTTGAAAAAATGTCAAAACAAACTTTAGTCTGTAATAGACCATATTAGAAATCTTAATGTTTTTCCCTCGATTTTTGATAACAGAATAACTAGTTCATTTTCTGATTGAAGGGTGAATCTTTCATAGGACATTTTCTTGATCAAGAAACATCTAATATTCTTGGACATCTCATGTCCAAGTGTATTTGGGAGTCACCATACACAGTTTCCTTAGATAAGACAGCTGGTAGACACTTCTCTTTTAGGCCAATAAATATAAAGAATGATATGTCAAAACTACCCAGGATTAACGAATTACCTTAACTGACAATTCTAAAAGAAGCAACTTTAAAGCACAAGATGACACTGCATTTCCAGATACCTGAGAAAATGAGCAGAAATCTTCTAGACAAGTCTCTAAGGAAGACAGATGCCACAGTCAGCCTTGACTAACTTCCCCTTACCACTTCAGGCTATAGTCTGAGCTGGCTTCTTAAATCAAGGGTAGAAAATAGGTTCCAACTTGAGTCAATTGATAGAGGTTGTCTGGAACATTATTTTGAAAAATATTTGGGAGCCACATTTAGACTCAGTGAGAGGAGTGCCATGACTGACTGGCAATATCTGCACTGGGCAGGAGCAAGTAAATTGATGTTACAGGTACTAAGGAATTTGCTAGAGGCGACATCCCTTGTATTTTCTGAAGGAAAAGAAATCTATGCTGCGAATTGGATTAGCTTCTTATCCAGAGAGAATCTATGTAAGAATTTCAAAAATTCACAAAAGCAGAAAAGTATCCACAAGATTTACCGTATGCCTTGAGAAGAAAAATATAACAGGAAAAATAACCTGAAGTTCTTCTCTCATCAGTCTCCTCAAAGCAAGCTGAATCTGTTAGAAGAGAGTCGAAGCACCAAATCCAGCCTGCCACCTTTTTTTGTATGATTCATAAGCTAAAAATGGTTTTTACATTTTTTAATTGGGAAAAAAATAAAAAGAATATTTTGTAGCACATGAACATTATACGAAATTCAAGTTTCAGTGCCCATAAATAAAGTTTTATTGGCTCGGAGCCACGTCCATTCGTTTATGTAGTGGCTGTGGCTGCTTTCATGCTACAAAAGCAGAGTTGAGAAGTTGTGACAGACTGTATTGGCTCTGCAAAGTCTAGCATATTTACAACCTGGCCCTTTATAGAAGAACAAGTCTGAGTTACAGGGCAAGTAATTTTCTATAAGGAAAAGGAGATTTAATTCAGTAGGCTTCACAAAGTAGTTATCAAAGAAAGTTGCTGCTCTACCCCTTTGTTAATACATAAGCGATTACATATAGTACTTGTGAATAAACAGTTTCCCTCATCACACAGTATCACAAAAAAATTCCACTATGCCCCCCAGAGAAGTGTTTCTACAGGCCCAAAATGAAGAAAGGAAAGAGCTTTAAACCTAAATGTTTTAAACTTCTCTTCTACAAGCAGATATAACAAATGTTTAAACATACTTTTATTGTTTTGGTTTGAAGTCTCAATCCATTCAGAGTGTTGATAGCTTTCTCTGCATCCTTGGGGTCAATGTAGTTCACAAAGCCATATCCCAAGCTCTGCCCTAATGAAAAGGAAGGGGGAAAAGGCATTTATTAGTTATACACCACTAACGGAGATCAACTTTCATTTTGGCATATGGTCTTATCATTAACACCAGTGTATTTGCTCAATAGTAAAAAGAAGTCTCCACTCATTCTTCTAGAAATATACATGTTGTCTTTTTTGGTCTCCTGTCTACTACATTTGCAAGTTTAAACATCAGTTAGAACTCAGCAAGCAACGCTGTTTAAAAACACACACACATCTCCAAAGTGTTCCATCATACATGCCTTGCCTGAGCCAGAGGGTGCCAGCAGCAAGACGACACTCAGCTTCAGAAACTGTGGGTACAAATCTCGGCTGAGCTATCGAGAGGGTTTAACAGACAAGACCTTTTCAGCTTCAGTTTCCTTAGCCATAAAATGGGAAGACGGCAAAGATCAACCAAGTATCTGTCAGTGCTCTGTAAATTGTATCCTGACACATTTACAGCCTTTACCAAGTACAATTATTTTAGAAGCTAAAAATGTGACAAACCATGTATTTATGCACGTATAGACAGACACATACATTCAAGAGGACGGTTTCTTCAAATACATTCAAACGTCCTAAAGGGGGTTTTATGGTCTAGATAAGAAATACAGGAAAATAGGAACACAAAGATTTACACAGTGGTGACACCCAAGCCACCAAGAACATGTGGGAAAGGCAGAAAAAGAGCATAAAACAGAAATCACAAAAATAATAAGAGTGTTTGGAGTAAGAGTTGCCTCAAAGTAAGTCTTTGTAGCTGCTGCTCCTTTCTCCCCATCATTGGAGCCCTCTCACCGGTGGCTCGATGATGCAACTCTCAGAAAATGGGAGGTATCAAGCACTTGGAATCAGTGGAATGCACATGTAAGTGAAGTCAACCCCAAATGTTTCAGTTTTTCAACTAAGGAAAAGTTTCTCTGTTTGAAAAGGTGAGAAACATACACAGGTGACCAAATGGGCTTAAGAAAATTTAGTCTACTAAAAGTCAAAACAAACTGACAATTTTCTGGAAGATGCCCAATTAAGATCCAAATGATTTTATTAAATATCACTGCTGCATCAATTTCAGAGGCAAGTGAGGGATTTGTTCTCAATGGGGCACCATAGGTCCAAGTGGCCATGAATAGGGGTATTCAGGACAGCTGCTCTGGTTTCTTAATGTGGTTCCTTATCAGCACACAAATGAAAAGAGAAAGCTAAAGATAGTACTCAACAGGAAAACCTGTAATTTTATTATGGGGATCACAATCAGAATTTGAGATACTCATTGTTAACAGATGCCCTCTTACCAAAACTTATTTTTTCCTGTTTTTAAAAAAGAATAAGGAGGGGAGAACTAAAAACTGAGTTCATTTTGTTTCCCTCACACTAAAATTCACAGGTCTTATTTTACTAACAGTTCTATTAAAAAAAAAAATCACACATGAAACTACTATATCTTCAAGCATCCAGCTTCATTAATTCGGCAAACATTTATCCTGTGTCTACTGAATGTATTGTGCTCTCTTACGAAAATGTTTCAGTTCTATTGTCATTGAGCATTCAAATTGGCTGAACATAAAATCTGCTCAAGGAAACAGCTTCTGTTGGAAAGAATATTGGCTTTGGAGACAGAAACATGAGTTTCAAACCTGCTCTGACATTTACTAGCTATGTGACTTTGAAGAAGCTACTTAACATCTGAACAGCAGCCTCTTTATATCTCTAAAATGAGGATAACAATTCCTACCCAACCAGGTGGCCAAGACAACAGTGATAATGCTCCTTAATAAAGAAAGTGGACCCTCCTACTCAAAAGATAACGTGAAGAAAAATAGCATGTCTACTACATGTTGTCATGTGTATTCATTTAAAGTTAAATCAGGAAGATGCAGCAAATATAATGGAAAAAGAAAAGGGCAAACCAAACATCATATTGTGTAGTTTTGTCACTGCTGATGTATGACAAAATAAATCAAATTATCAATTGTACCCGCATAGAGTCCAATTCTCCTTTCTACTGGTGCTATCCTCCCACCTGCATTTTAGCAGCTTCTAACCACAGCACATTCTCAACCTTAGCTACACACTGGAATCATCCAGACACATAAAACTTTAAAAGAAGAGAAAAATCCCACTCTGGTTTTTTTTAGAGACAGGTCTCCCTATGTTGCCCAAGGTAGACTGCTGGAGTTGAACTCCTAGGCTCAAGGGATCCTCCCACTTCAACCTCTGATATTACTGGTCTGTTATGAAGCACTGGTACCAGCTTTTCAAAATCCTGGTGACTCTAACATACGACCACTAGGTTAAGAAATCACTGTTTCAATGGTGGCAATCCTGGACTGCAACAGGGCTTCTGGGAGCCCTGAACGGGGCCGAGTGCTGATGGTCTGGGCATGTGAACTGACTCCGCAGGGAAGACGGCCTTTTTACAGTTGCATTGTTAAGATATATAGATGTCTTTTTTCTAAAATCTTCAAGTTATCCATCACTTCAAACAAACAGTTTATTGGCCACTTGAGGTCAGACTCAGGCACAGCAGTGCTCACTGAGGTTGATCACTGAGTACAGTGAAAAGCCTGCCCTGCTTAGTTCCTGCTTGGCTGTCTCCCATGCTGGCCTCCGAACTATATTCCTAGCGTGTTGTAGACACTCAAAGGCTTGCTAAATGAATGAATGAAAAACTTAATGATATTATTTATTTAATCAAAGGTACTATCACCATCACAGGGCCCATCTGTTGAATGGATCTTTGACCTGACTCCCTCAAGCAATCAGGGCTAGCTATGATAATGAGCCAGATTTCTACTACCTGTAAATTGATTATATAATCAGACAATATGTATCCCCAAATGACCTCTCCTCCTTGCAAAACATTTCCAATCTGCCTAATGGTATTATTAGGAAGAGTGTCGCCAATCAATTAGAATGTGTTTGAGGTAAGCAAAATTATATTATTATCCTCAGTAAAATATATGAAAAGGGGTATCTGCTACTAAAAGGCTGAATTACTACATCAGCCATTATATTAATAGATGTATTGAAATGTTAGCACTGTAACACAAGGGAGTTAGGAATGTCACAGCTTTTCATTGTAAAGTCAATTAATTAAGTCAGCAAATATTTATTGGATGCTTAAGATATATTAATAAAGGCATCACAGATGATACCAAGATAGGCAAGACTCCCCCTTCTCACCTTTCACCTATATGGTATTTTACTGTTTAATTGTAGCCTCACATTGATCATGTTCGGTATTCAGATTCTTCTCCTACAAGGTAGAAATGACAACTGAAGCTTGGCAAGGTCAATCAGCTTCTACAAACCAAAAAGGCAGGTAGGAAGTAGTGAAGTCAGGACTTGAACCCAGGACTCTCAAATGCTGTGCTCCTCTCTACTCAATTCCCAACCAGTTTATCCCTAAACCCAGACCACCACCAATATGCCTGAAGCATAATGTAACCAGGCATTTTCAGACCAAGTTTTACCACAAAAAAATTGCTTCTTGGTTGCCACTATATCAAATTTCTGTACTTTTTGTACAAATATCAATTTTACTATACATGAATTTCTATGCTGATATTCCTATGACAACATAAATTGCACCTTATTTATATAGTGCATATTTCTGGTTATAAGTGAGTGCAGATTTTTAAAAAAATAAAAGCAGTTGCAAGTCAAACATTAAGAAAAAATACCTCGCCTAGATCCACTTTTCCCACTCTGGTATTCATCAGTTAGTAACAGTCATGAGCCACCAGGGAAGACTTGGAAACCAAGCATCATTTATCCATATCATCCAAATCTATTTTTCAAGCCACTCTGAATTTAGAATGTGCATATTGATAATCCCAAAACCAAGAATCACTTCTTTAAAATTTTTATAAAGCTCTACATTTAAATTCCAAGTATAATCCTTATGGAAACCAACACGATTAAAACAAAATTCTCACTAAAATGACAAAGCTAAGGCTCTTCAAAAAAAAAAAAGAAAAGCCTTTAAGATAAACAAATTCTATCTTTAAGAGCCAAAAAATCCCCCCTGGTAACTGAATATCAAGAACAGGGTTGACATCACTTGTCCCCAGCTATCCTCACAGGCTACCTGTGGTCACACACTGTTAAGGATTTTGGAACCATTAATCCAAGACTTGGTCCTCACAGCCAAGGCAGGGCTTCTAGATCTTCACTACAGAAGCAGCTACCTGAACAGTCATACGACCTATGACCTTCCTGCAGATACCAAAAACTCCAGGTCAGTGCCACACTTCAGCACACATATTCTGTACTACACTGATGTGTGTGAATGCCTTTTGTTTTGCACCCTCCTTTTTAAATCTAACATATATGCCACAGAAAAGGATCCCTTCTCCACAAGATATACAAGAATCACTTATGCTCCTGACACAAGGAGAACAGTTATAAACAGGCTGCTCAGAACCATGGTCAAGTGGTCTATACAGCACAGAGCTGACACACTCCACAGGCCTCTGAATGGGACCAAGCACCATCGAGAGCTGTTCGGGGGTCAGAGCGGGGAGAGGAAATCGGAAGAGAACCTGTTTAATGGCAAAGTGCTACTGTGGGAAACACAGTAAATGCCAATTTATCCCAAACTGTGCGTATTTCAAAGCATCAGCCATTCCCTTGCCACCTACATTGCTTTTAATAGCCTACTTTAATTAAAATTTTAATTGCATATTTTAATTAAAAATACACAATCTTCTGGACCTGTTTCATTCAAAGGTCATTTTATTTAGTCTTTTCTATTCCCAATTCCTACCAATGTTCAGAAAATCAAATCACCCCCTCAGGTTTAAAGGTAAAGGCAACAGACTGGCGTAATTCTTGCTTATAAACCTGGTACATTAATCTAATTTTATCCAACCAATATTAAAATGAGCCCCTTTCTCAACATAAAGTTGGGAAAATAAAATTTGGTATTAAAAAAAACAAACAACAGTCATCCTACATAGTTCTCGACTACATTAAGCATTCCTCGATTAT